CCAACCAAGCCCACACAAAAAAAAAAAAAAAAAAAAAAAAAAGGAAAAGAAAAAAAAGGACAAAGAAAATAAAAAGTAGTAAATCTTAGTCCTTGGAACTGATCCAACTATCAGGCAGATTAATAGGTAGGATGGGGCAGGTGGGACAGGTGGGTGTGTGTGGTGGGGCAGGTGGGTGGGTGTGGTGGGGCAGGTGGGTGGGTGTGGTGGGCAGGTGGTGGCAGCTGGTGCTGAGGTTTTCTGATTCTTCTCTACTTTCCTCTACAGCCCCTTATCCGAGAGGTTTGCCACAGCTGTGCAGTGGTGTCCAGCTCTGGCCAGATGCTGGGTTCAGGCCTGGGTGCCCAGATTGATGGTGCTGAGTGTGTGCTACGCATGAACCAAGCACCCACTGTGGGCTTTGAGGAGGATGTGGGCCAGCGCAGCACCTTGCGCGTGATCTCGCACACGAGTGTGCCACTGCTTCTGCGAAACTACTCACACTATTTCCAGCAGGCTCAAGACACACTCTATGTGGTGTGGGGCCAGGGCAGGCACATGGACCGGACGCTGGGCGGCCGCACCTACCGCACATTGCTGCAGCTTACCAGAATGTACCCCGGCCTGCAGGTGTATACCTTCACTGAACACATGATGGCCTACTGTGACCAGATCTTCCAGGAGGAGACGGGCAAGAACCGGTGAGCCGGGGACCTGGGGCTTGCCTTCTCCAAGAGCCTCTTTGTGCTAGGAAATGCTGTAAGATTGGAGGTGTCCTCTGAGGTCTGTTCCAGATAACTGAGTAACAGTTGCAATCAGAGTAGCTGCCTTCAGGCTAGGGATGTAGTGCCATTGGCAGGGTGCTTGCCTAGCATGCGTGAGGCCCTGGGTTCCATCCCCAGCACAAAATAAACTGACCTTGCACACCTCTGTAATCCCAGTACCCATGAGGTAGAGTCAGGACAGCCAGGAGTTCAAGGGCATCCTCAGCTGCATAGGGAGTTTGGTTGAGGTGAGCCTGGGCTACCTTTGTCTCAAAAAATGAGCAAACAAAAAACCTAACTGTTTTCAGGTCTCAGGTCCTAAGCTAAGCACCCTCATCGGATACCTCTTTAATACCTCATCTAAAAGGGTCCTCAGGGTTCCCAGTGGCACCTCATCTACATGCCTGTGCCCCTGCCCCCATCCTCAGATGTTCACACTTGTCCCCAGCTGCATGCACTGTTCCTTCTGCTAGAATATTCTAGAATTTTCCATGATTGTCTCTGTCTGGTCTAAATGAACTATCCCTTCCTGAGGAAAGCCCCCCCTGGGCCACCCCCTCTGGAGTGGCCTGTCCCCCCCCCACACACACACTGTGTTCTGCATCCACTCCTCTTTCCTAGTCTTTTCAGAGGCTGTCACCATCTGACATCACTTTTGTTTATGTGTTAGCACCATGTGGGGCAGGTGCTGGCTGTGCTCAGCCTGAATGGGGGAGCCAGCCTGTACTGTCAGAGGGAGTGCCCCTCTGTGTGGAGAGTACCCAGCCATCTGAGACCTGGGGCGGCCACAGCACCTTGACCCAAGTGGAATGGGGGGAGGCATGGACAAGGCTAACGGGTTCCTCTTCAAAGCCACCTGGAAGTCTCCCCGTTTCACAGTTGGGTACTGAGGCTCAGGAGTGAGTTGGGTGCCCTACAGCGGAGGCAGGGTCTTGAACAGACTGTCACTGTGTGCTCCTGCACTGGGGTCTCCCCAGGCCCTGGTGGCATCATCAGCTTGGGTGGGAAGACTGATGAGACTTGGGTTTGTGTGCAGCTCTGCCCCGACTCACAGCTGGCCTCAGGCCAGCTCGCTGCCTCTTCCTCATCCTCCCCAGGACCCCTTTCTAGTCATCAGGTGGGGAGTAGGGGAGGGATGTCAGGAGGGGCCATTGACAGTGTCCCATCCTCCCCAGGAGGCAGTCAGGTTCCTTCCTCAGCACTGGTTGGTTCACCATGATCCTGGCCCTGCAGCTGTGTGAGGAGATCGTGGTCTACGGGATGGTCAGTGACAGCTATTGCAGGTCAGACTGGCACCCAAGCTGGGGTAGGGGGTAGGAGGGGAGGGTGTGAGGCCTTGAGCCAGAGGGTCTATGAGCAGGCCTTTGGGGAAAAGTGTAACCTCTAGCTGGGTGTAGTGATCCTACTTAGGAGATGGAGGAGGGAGAATCAGATCAGAGCCAGCCTTGGCACCAAATCAAGTTCAAGGCGAGCCCTTTTTTTGAGAGCCTCCCAAAAATCTCAAACGAAAACAGAAACTTGTAGTTTTCTCAGAAGGTTGGTGAGCCATCAGAGCAGGTGTGTCTAACCTTTGACACTGTGACTTGACATCGTGAAAAGAGAGGACATACTCTTAATGCATCTTTTGACCTCCACATGTACACTGTGGCAGGTTCTTGCCAACCCACCACACACAAATAAATAAATGCAAAAAAATTTTAAGTTGCCAAAAAGATTTGACAAAATGGGCCTTGGATCGGACCATCCTAATGGAATAATCTTTAAAAGTGTTGCTCACCCCCTTAAAGCATATATCTATTTTTGTTGTTGTTGTTTTTGGTTTTTCTGAGGCAGGGTTTCTCTGTGGCTTTGGAGGCTGTCCAGGAACTAGCTCTGTAGACCAGACTGGTATGAAATTCACAGAGATCCGCCTGCCTCTGCCTCCCGAGTGCTGGGATTAAAGGCGTGCACCACCACCGCCCCGCCTATATCTATTTTTTAAGATTAATTTTATGTATATGAGTGCTCTAATGACTTTATGCCAGAAGAGGCATCAGATCCCACTGCAGATGGTTGTGAGTCACCATATTGGTGCTGGGAATTGAACTCAGGTCCTCTGGAAGAGCAGCCAGTGCTCTTAACCACTAAGCTATCTCTTGACACCTAGCTATTTTAATAAAACACCAGATAGATTTAGTTGTGGTATTAGAGATGTAAGAGCAGGGCCCCTGCCATGGCTGGCCCTCAAAGTACCTCTGAAAACTAGGGGCATGGGAGTCCCTTTGAGTGACTTGTTCTCCCTGGAGCTGAGCACCTCACTCACTCCAGGAGGTACTTCTCTAACCCAGAGTCACCCAGCTTGCAAGAAGCAGTTTTTGAGCCCCGGCCACTGTGCTCCATACCTGCCGACCTCCTGCCATCTGTCCAGATGTGGGTGTCCCTGGGCCTTAGCAGCTGGAGGCAGACGGCTCTGGGGTCCCCTGTCTGTCCCACCTGACCCTGTTCCCTTCCAACAGTGAGAAGAGCCCTCCTTCCGTGCCTTACCACTACTTCGAGAAGGGCCGGCTGGATGAGTGTCAGATGTACCTTTTGCATGAGCAGGCGCCACGGAGTGCCCATCGCTTCATTACTGAGAAGGCTGTGTTCTCCCGCTGGGCCAAGAAAAGGCCTATTGTGTTCGCTCACCCATCCTGGAGGGCCGAGTAGTTTCTGTTGCCAGTGGCCACCAGGCTTCTGCCAGGCCGCCACACTCCATCATGAACATTTTTTATGACTCTCGCCTTCTGCCTGATTCCAGGTGGTACCTGGGGTCTCTGTTACCCCACACTGGGTACACTTGAAGAATTCTTGGGCCTTGTGACTTGAAGGGGAGTCAAGAGGGTACATTTATACTACCCCTGCTCCCTGGCAAATCCACGTCTTCATCTTGGGGTTCCATCCACCTCCAGGTTGTTCAAGTGGCCTTTGCCCTGGGGCCAAGGGCCCCCTCACCAGCACCATGACTTTATGCCAACCTTGATCTTTCCCTATCTGTAGCCACACGGTGCCACATTCTCAGGCTGGTGGCCCTGGTTGTTGCATCCTAGAACCTGGGATTTGATGGGTACAAGGGCCTTTGAGCATCCGCCTCCCAGGACTGTCTCGGGAGTGTGCCAGTAAATGCATATTTTCTGGACTTTGTGTCTAGTGTGGTAACAGATGTGGGATGTGGTAACAGACCTGTAACCTATTCATTGGAGGGCAGACAGACCTCCAGCCCTTCCCAAGGTCCATGGCTGTCTGCTCTTCCAGCATTGTATCTGGGCATTGCTCCCACAGCCTCCTGCCCCCACATCTCCAGGCTAGATCTGACCACAAGATTATGCTGGCCCAGGAAAGCTACCCGTCCTCAGCAGGCAAAGAGCCGGGCCTCGGAGGGCTCAGGGTGAGGAAGAAACTCCACCCAGTGTTGCTTTCCTGTCCAATGAGTCAGATTCCAAAACCTTTGCCAGTCAAACTGCCTGTTAACTCTGGGACTTGGTCCCTTTGTAAGACAGAAAGGCAGAATGCAGCTCAGAGTGGGTGTTGTGGGAAGGAAGTGGTCTCAGGGCCAGCCCTTTCTCTGAACTTTGCTCATCTCACCTTGACATACCTACACAGCCATCATCCTGCTGTTAATGAGGGTGTGGTGCCACCCTGAGGAGGGAGCAGGTGCTAGTTACAGATGAGGTAGCCCAGGCTAGCTTCGGTGAGGTATCTGAGCTGGGATGCCTGAGAGCTCACTACCCCTCCTTCTCCCTTTGGACAACTGAGCAATGGAACCCTGGGATTTAGCTCTTGGCTCCAGAGCTCAGGACCCTCTGGGTAAGACCTGTGCAGTTCCCAGAGCCCTGTGCTTCCTTTAATCTCTCCTGCTACAAACTCGAAATTTATTTATTGATTGATTGATTGATTGATTGATTGATTGATTGATTGGTTTTTTTGAGACAGGGTTGCTCTGTGTAGCCTTGTACACCAGGCTGGCCTTGAACTCCCAGGGATCTGCCTGCTTCTGTCTCCCGAGTGCTGGGACTCGGCATGCGCCACCAACACCCAGCTAAACTTGAAATTCTTTTAATGTTAGGTTTGTTTTTTTAACAAGAAACCTCTCACTTAGCTATTGTACTGTATCCCAAAAGTGACAGAGTCCATCATGCTGAGGACTGTGATGGTCTAGCCCTCTCTCCCTCCTACCCATTTTCTCAGGAGTGACTGGAAACCTGGTGCCTGGCCCACAGCACTGCCCTTGTCCTCTTTATATCCTGTGCCAGGTAGGTGAGGTGGAAGCCTCCCAAGTAGGAGGAGGGGAGAGGGAGAGAGCTCTGAGCCAGACATGCAGGCTGGACGCCAAACCACTTCCGCAGGCTGGGCAGTGCTGAGGGGCCAAGAATAGGAATAGGGCAGGGGCAAGTAGTGGGTGGGATGGAAAGCCCTGGCAGCAGGCCTGACCCCACTCTGGCTCCACGGCTCCATTCTCTGATCTGTGTCTCTAGTTAATTAGAACCTTTTTGGGTTTCAGTTTCCCCATCTATAAAGGTGATCAAGTAGTTCCTACCCTTCAAGATCCCAAAAGCTCAGAGATGCTGGGCTACCCTTGGGGCTTAGAGCATATTTGGCACTTGATGTGGGTGAAAGCCACCATTTAAATGGGGTGACCTTACCCCTGGGTGGTCCTGCTCCACCCTGGTATAGGTAGTGTCAATGCAAAAATCACAGTTCCTATCTTAATGGGAATAGTCAATTCTGAAGCCATTTTGAGGATCTGTGGCCCAGGACACAGATTAGGTTACCCCAAAATCCATGTTCCAATGTGGCAACAGTTTCATGAAGTTTTATAATTTCATAGTAAAAAGAAAGTCATAAATCAATATTGGTTGGGTGTATCAGAGAGGCCGTCACAGCAAGATGGGGGAAGCACTCCTATAGGCCTATGATGTTATATGATAGCTTTCTTAGCTTTTGAGTTGGTAGAAGCTAGTGATCTGCTAAGTTAATAGCTTTCCAAGGCTTTTATCTATTAGTTAGAGAATGCTCTGACAAAGATAGGCAAGGAATGGCTGTTTGAAGCTAAAGCTAGCCCAAGATACAGCAATTTCTGACCTCTGGGTGGTCTCTTTATGTACAGCTGCTTCCCGGTTCTCATTCACAGTGGGTATCTGGCTTTCCACCCCATTTGAAGTCGTCCAACCCACGCCCTCTCCCTGTGTGTTCAGAACCAAGAGAAACCCCCGACCCCCATCCTGATGGGATTTAGGCTGTATTCCTTCCTGAGAGTCAGTCTTCTTGTTTCTAGCCACCAGGAAATGCTGGCCCAACCCTTGGGTCCAGCACACAGAAGTGCTTCTGTCCTGGCCCAGCCTCTGGGTGAGGTGTTTACTGCTGGGTTGGCTCAAATAATTGTTTCTTGGGAAACTGCCTACTACTTCCTCCTGGCACACAAAGATGCCTTCTGACAGGTCTGGTTGGCACAGGGTCTACTGAAGTCTCTCCAGTGATGGGACTGATGAGCCCCTTCCTTGGCTGTGGGCCTGGTACCTGCTGGAAGGTAAGTAGGGACAAGGGCCATGCAAATCCTTGAGGTGTTATGGGGGTCACTCATGTTTACAGACTCTGAGCTCATATGTTCCTGTGCCTCCTCTGGTTCCTTTGTCTCAGCAAACTCACTGGGAACCCACCAACTTCCTTCTAATCCCAGGAAGGAAGCAAGGTGGGTCCCACAGCCCCCTGGTGTCTTAGAGTTCATTCTTGATGAATCTCTGGTTGGGGTGTGAGCTTCTCTATAGGAACCCCATTCTTACTGGGAACGGTTGGGCACCTCGTCCAGCCCCTGTCCACGGAGACCTGTGTACTCCATACCAGGCTCAGAGCTTTGCTTCAGTCTCCAGCCTCCTCCTTAGAGGTTGAAGTTTGGAGTCCCCAGACCTGACTTCCAGCTGAGCTGAGCACAGATCTGTCTGTGGAACTAAGATGGTAGGTGAGGAAAAGCCTCCTAAAAATACAAAGAAGTTTGCTAAAGGAAGGATTATGGTGTAGCTTAGTGATAAGGTAGTTGCTAGGTACACCTGGATTCCAACCCAACAGTGGTAGTGGGGGGGGAGGGCATTTGGTAAAGTGCTGGAAGTGCAGGTATCTGGCTGTCACGCATGCGCCTTCCCTGGGGAGAAAGGACTAAAACTGAGTGAGCTTCTCCAGAGACCAGGCAGGTCGTGGCTCAGGCCCCATTCATGAGTCTCTGTTGTGGCTTGGCCCATTTAGTTCTCCCAGGCTTGGGGCCTGTGTTTTCCAACAACTCAGTGGGTATTAAATAGACAGGTCTAGATGAATGTCAGCCTGCCTGTCACCTCCACATTCCCCAAGCTGGAACCTGTCACTCCCACACTCCCACCTTCTGGAAAGCAGGCTCCCAGTCACTCCCCTGTAGCAGGTTCTTTTAGCGATTGAGTGAGGAGTTGCTTGGAACGGGCTTGATGCAGAGACAAGCACCCCAACAAGATCTTCTGACTTTCTTACCCCCACTTTCTTTCCTTTTTCTGGGACAGGGTTTCCCTGTTTAACCCTCGCTGTCCTGTAGACAAGGTTAGCCTCAAATTCAGATCTCCCTGCAGGCATTAAAGGTGTGTGCCAACTCTTAACCACACTATTAGTACCCCAAAGGGGGCTGTTACTATTCCTGGTGCCCAGGAAGGGAAACCCTCCTGCAACAAGTCCAGAAATCTGATGGGCTTGAGTTGGGGGTCTCTGGCTGTGCTTTGGTCTGGGTCTGGGCTTAAGCATCCTTATATTTTCAGAGTCCCTAGCAGGGCCTGGGGCAGGGAGAAGGGCTGTGGGGACAGAAATGCTTCCATGTCTCACACAGCCTCCACCCCACTGACTGTCCTTGCTGGTGAGAGCCCTCTGGTCTCTGAGTGCCTAGTGCTCAAGTTCATCAGATTTTTCACCTGCCCTTTCTTTCTCCACAACCACACCCACCACACCCACGGTGATTTCCTTTCTGTCCTTGTGGGGGGGCGTCTGTGGTTGAGGTGAGCTAAGGCTCACCAAGCACTAGAGGTGGACACTGGAGAGCAGGGATCCTGTGTCCTGCATACACTCTGCTTGAGTCGCCTGATTCCCCACCATGGCTGGAGGCTGGAGTTTAACACACACACACACACACACACACACACACACACACACACATGGTTTTTCTTCAATTTTAAAATTAATCTATTTTATGTGTTTGGGTGTTTTGCCTGCATACGTATCTGTGTACCGTGTACATACCTGGTGCCCTCGGATGCCAGAAGAGGGCACTGGATCTCCTGGAACTGGAGCCATAGATGGTTGTGAACCACCGTATAGGTGTTGGGAAAGCAACCCAGATTCTCTGGAAAAGCAGCCAGTGCTCTTAACCACTGAGCCATCTCTCCAGCTCCATCATACTTGTTTAATTTTTTTTTTTTTTTTAAAAAAGTGGTATTAACTTGCCAAAGTAAATTTGGCTTAGCAACACAAGCTTGTAATCCCAGTACTTGGGATGGAGGCCAGATCAGAAATTCAAGGTCATCTTTGGCCACACAGTGAATATGAGCACACACTGCCCCCCCCCCATAGTAAGGCTGTTTCAAACCGATCAACCAGTCACAACTTACTAAATGAATGCAATGCAAACAACTTAGAAGTTTAAAAAGTGATCATAGCACTCCCCCTTCTACCACCTTTTAGGACAGAGGTTCTCAACCTGTGGGGTCGAGAGCCCTTTGGGAGTTGAACGATCCCTTCATAGGGTCAATAAGACCACTGTAGAACACAGATGTTTACATTACAATTCACAACAGTAGCAAAATTACAGTTATGAAGTAGAGAAAATAACCTTATGGTTGGGGTCAGCACAACATGAGGACCTGTACTAAAGGGTTGCAGCATTAGGGGGCTGAGGACCACTGAGTTGGGGAGTTGCTGCTGGGGGGGTGTCCTTGTGGATTTGGTCCCAAACCTTTATGTGCATTTACAAACATGGTAACTGTGTTAAAGGGGCGGTAACAAAGAGAGTAGGAGAAAAGAAAGGGAGGTTGGGGAGACAGCTCACTTTGGTAAAGTGCTATGGAGAGCAAGCTGGAGGACTTAGTACTCACAATCCATTCGAAAATCCCAGATGTTGAGGTCCTTGTTAGCAAAAAGGAAGGAGGCAGAGAGAGCTGGATCCCTGAGGCTCTCTGGTTAGCCTGGGTAACCAGCCTGGGGTAACCAGTGAGCCCCACATCCTAGCAAGAGGCCCTGCCCCTGTCTTTCTTAGGCACCTAACAAGGCTTGTGCAGAGCAGAGGAGGTCAGCCCCTGGCTCCACACTGACACCAACTCGTGCACTCATGATCTCACACTCACACAAAACACACAAAAGCTGCATGTGCAATTCAGTTTGAAAAAACTTAAAGGCCTGAGGCTGGAGAGAGAGAGCATTAAGGACACTGACTCACCTTGCAGAGCGCTGTGGTTCTTTTCCCAACCACAAGATGGCTCACAGTCATCTCTAACTCAGGGTCCAAGGTATCCAGAGCCTTTTGTCTGCTGAGGGCACCAGCCATGCACACAGTGCACAAACATACGTGCAGGCAAAACACCCATATACAAAAGTAAATAAAATCTTAAAACAAAACAAAACAAAACAAAAAAACTAGGGGGCTGGAGAGATGGCTCAGCGGTTAAGAACACTGACTGTTCTTCCAGAAGTCCTGAGTTCAATTCCCAGCAACCACATGGTGGCTCACAACCATCCGTTATGAGATCTGGTGCCCTCTGCTGGCATGCAGGCAGAAGACTGTTTAGACTGTATACATAATAAATAAAGTCTTTAAAAAAACAAAACAAAACAAAACAAACAAACAACAAAAAAAAACTAATGCCGGGTGTTGGTGGCGCACGCCTTTAATCCCAGCACTCGGGAGGCAGAGGCAGGCAGATCTCTGTGAGTTTGAGGCCAGCCTGGTCGCCAGAGCAAGTGCCAGGATAGGCTCCAAAGCTACACAGAGAAACCCTGTCTCAAAAAAAAAAAAAAAAAAAAAAACAAAAAAAAAACTAAAAAAAAACAACTAAACTAAAAATGCCTTTAAATTAAAAAAAGATCAGGGGTATGGCTTAGCAGTTAAGAGCACTGGCTGTTCTTTCAGAAGACCGAGGTTCAGTTCCTACCTGGAAGCTCACAAATGTCTGTAATTCCAGTTCCAGGGAATCCAATATCCTCTTCTGGCCTCTACCGGCACCAAGCTCACAAGTGGTGCACAGATACACATGCAAGCAAAACACCCACATATATAAAATAAAATTTAAAAACTAAAAAAAAAATTATAAATTTTAACTTATTGTATGTGTGTGTGCCTGCTTGCCTGTATGTAAATCACATGTATGCTGGTGCCCTTGTAGGCCAGGAGAGGGCATCAGAACCCTTGGGATTTCCTGCCTTAGCTCCCTCCCCACCACACGTCCCTTAGCTGAGCCAAAAAGCCTGTGCCACCACACTCATCCTGAAATAAACGAGGTCAGACTTGCCAAGTTTGAACCAACACTAGTTCCTGAGTCTTGTTGAAACTGAGCCATGGTAGTCTCAGAGACCAGGCATTCACAGACATGTTACCATAATGAACAAAAACATCTTGTTTTTATCTTTCTTCTTTTGTACCTTTTTTTTGTTACATATTACTTATTTATTGGAGGGGAGGGGGCAAGAACTCCACATGGTACACATGTGGAGGCCAGAGGACAACTTGCAAGAGTGGATTCTCTCCTTCTACCATGAGGGTCCCAGGGATCAAACTAAGGTCATCAGGCTTGGTGGCAATCACCTTTACCTGCTGAGCCACCTCACCAGCTGCAAACTTTTCTTTTAAAATGTGACATTCTGATTTTGTGATAGGCTGAGCTGTCTCTATTATATTATTAAATTATAAAGCATGTGGACACAGTGAGCCTCTTGAACTCAATATCCATGGTTACTGTAATGTGCACACCTCCTCAGGGCTCTTAAAACTTTAATTGGTGATATGAGCAAAGGCTATCTCCTGCTCTTGGCAATGCTGTGTAGGTTTCTTTTTTGTTTGTTTGTGTTCTAGTCAGTGTTCTATTGCTGTGAAGAGACACCATGACCACAGCAACTCTTAAAAGAGAAAGTGTTTATTTGGGGGATGGCTTACAGGGCAGGGAGCTTGGTGGCAGGCATGGTGCTGGAGCAGTAGCTGAGAGCTACATCCTGGTTCACAGGCAGGGGGTAGGGGCAGAAAAGGGGACGAAGAAAACTGACGTTTTGCTTCATTTGGTTTTGCATTTTAAGACAGTCTCAGCTATCTAGGCTGAGAGTTGATATTTAGCTGAGGATAGTCTTGATCTACTATAGCCACTCCCCTAGCCATGTGTGTAGTCTTACTTACCTTCCCACATTTGTTCTTTTTATTCCTATGTCTCTAAGATTCACCAGTGTATCTATAGCTTATTCACTGTCCCTGTGTGTAATATTCCACAGTGTGAATAGTTTATAACATTAAAAAAAAAAAAAACTTGCCAGGCAGTGGTGTTGCACACCTTTAAGCCCAGCACATGGGAGGCAGAGGCAGGCAGATCTGAGTTCAAGGTTAGCCTGGTCTACAGAGTGAGTTTCAGGATAGCCAGGACTACACAGAGAAACCCTGTCTTGGAAAACCAAATCAGCCCAAACAAAGCTACTTTTCCATTCTCCTGTTGCTAGATGTCTGGACCATTTCCACTTTTGGATTTAAACCACTGGGTAAATCCGCAGGGACTTTACCCAGGAGTGAAATGGAAATTTTTACTATGTTGTTTTCTAAAGTGGTCACCCAGCATGAAGCTCTTTAAACTTGCTTTCTATACTTAAGTGTCTTGTGAATGTCCCAGCCACCCTCTCCTGGCATGCACTTTGACCCCGTGCTTCACCTTCCCAACCTCTTAGAGCCTGTGGGCAGGCTGGTGTCTGTATTTACTTAAGCAATCTTCTAACAGGCTACTTAGGTTGCTTCTGTGTGTGTGTGTGTGTGTGTGTGTGTGTGTGTGTGTGTGTGTGTGTGTAGGCCAAAAGTAAACCTCGATAACCTGGAAGGCTCAGATAGGGTAATCTAGCCAGGGGGGTTATCTGTAATCCCAGAGCTGGGATTACAAAAACATGGCATCACCAAGTGATGCCTTTAATCCCAGCACTCGGGAGGCAGAGGCAGGTGGATCTCTGTGAGTTTGAGACCAGCCTGGTATACAAAGCGAGTTCCAGAACAGCCAGGGCTACACAGAGTCTGTTTTTGGAAATACCAAAACAACAACAAAAGCACATGCATGGTGTCTGGCTTACTTGACTACCTCCTCAGCCTTCAAATTGCTTTTTTTCTTTTACTTTAAATTTTTTTATGTGTATGGGTGTTTTGCTTGCATATATGTCTATCTACTACATATATGTATAGTGTCCATGGAGGCCAGAAGAGGGTGTCAGATTCCCTAGGACTGTGCTGGGAATGGACCCCAGGTCCTCTATAAGAGTAGCCAGTATTTTTAGCTGTTGGGACATCTCTCCAGTCCCACGTTGCTTCCTTTTAGTAGCATAAAATAATATAATGAATACATGAATACGTGGGGTAGGATGATGAGTTGAGCCAAGGTCTCCCTATGTTGCACTGGCCGACCTGGAACTCACTATGTCTGCCAGGCTGGCTTCGAACTTCCAACAGTTTTCTATCCTCCTTCTACCTTCTAAGTGTTGGGCTTAGAGGCCTGCACCACTACATTTTGAGACCATCTCTCCATTCTCCAGCCATAAGGAAATAAAATAATGTATTGGGTTGCCCACGGGGTTACTACTGGGTCTCAAGGTGGAGAAACCCTGGGAGTTATTGGCCAGAGTTCAAAACCAGTGATCTCCACGTCTGTTTCCTTATCGGAGGTCTTGGTGACCACGCGGAAGGAGAGAAATGAACCAGAGTCGGAAGGGACAAGGGACGGGAGGTTGTAGGAAAGCACACCTCCTTTCTGGCCCCTCCCTGGGGCGGGGCCACCCGCAGCGGATGGCTCCGCCCTCCCGCCTGGCCCTGGCCCGGTCTGTCTGTGAGCGTCGGCACTAGGACCCCACGGGCCGGAGCTGCGGCGGGGCCTGGGCGGCCGGAGCAGCGC